TTACTTGCATTAGGTGATATTATTATTCTCTTTTTAAAAACAAAGCAAAACAAAATTGCAGCACTATTGAAGGAACTTGTCCAAGGTCACAGCTGGTAAGTGACAGAGAAGGAATGGTACCTAAAGACAGCCTATGCTCTTAATCACTATGAATGTCCTCTCATACCAGTCTACATGATTAACAGCCATCCATGAGCAGTCTTTCTAAATGGCATTATGTGAGGTGAGGAGTGTGTCTCTCTGTTCAATTTCCTTCTGGGTGTATCAGCTCCCATGAGGCTCTACAGGAGACAGTTAGGAGGCTCTTTTGTCACAATCTGTTATGGGTAGGGGGCCATTTGTTGCTTGTGCTCCAACTCTTGTGGTTACAATCCCTTTATTTCCCTAATGGTCCTACTTGGGTGTCTGTGCCTTGGTTGTGTCTCATTTTTTATGTCTTCTCTTTGATAGCCTGCCCCCAGGGCTGCTTGCAGTGTAGCCACAGAGACCGATGTCACCTCTGTGGCCAAGGGTTCTTTCTGAAGAATGGCCTCTGTGTTTCCAACTGCATTCCTGGCTTCTCTGCCCACTCTTCTAATGAAACATGTTCTGGTAAGAGCTCTTCTGGCGGTCTGGTGAATGCTCCAGTAATTTTACTTTGCAAAGTCTGGGTTTACTGAAATAATTGATTCAGAATTACCATTGTGGGGGGAAACCAAAACTTGATGCTGCTAAGGAATAAGGAACTGTTTATACAACATGGAAAAATTAGGAAAATCTCAACTTCTATGATCTTTGAAGAAAAAAAAAAGAAGCAATCTGTGCTCCAAAAGTCACAAGTATAAGATAAGAAATTTGGCATAAACTTAGCTGTGTTCTTGAACTGCAGCCACATTGTAGAAAATCACATACATGTTTATACATGCAATGCACTTATTTGAATTCATATAAACTTGTAGAGTAAACTATGCCAAGAGTTCAGTGGTACATCTTTTGCGCAAACAGTGAAGATAAGCTATAAATAAACAATGAAAAGGATGAGGAGACTCCAAGAGGTTCATCTGTTGAAACTGGATGAATTTGTTTCTGTTATGAATAACAGGTTAAAGGAAAGGCGCTCATTTCTCCCTGCATACCTCACCTTAAATAACAGAGAGAAGCAAATTTAAATTCAGTCCTCATTTTGAACTCCAAAAGTTTTATAGGTAGATAAACCTTGGAAGTGTTCCTTAGTTTTATTGTTTACCAAAAGCATGGGGCATTTTGTAGTATCCAAAGTCACACATTCTGTCTGTATATTTCTGGAGATTAAGATTTTCCAAAAAAAAAAAAAATCCTTGACTCATTTTGTTAGGATCTTTCTGGAAACCCCATCTACTTGAGCGTCAGCTTACTACTCTTGGGACATAATACAAGTAAACCTGTGGAAATGAATTCTACTTTTATTAGAATAATCTTATGGTAGATGTTGAACTGCACTGTCTGGCCTAATTGTAGAAGGGAACATTGCCCGTTAAAGACCTTGGCAAAACACCTTGCAGGAGAGAGGATGAATTCTACATTATGGAAGGAAATCCTCATTTATCTGTCAGATGTTTCATACGCACAGAGATTGCAAAATTTTTTTAAGTGTATATATTTCACATGAATTCTGAATGTGAGCCACCAACAATCCTACTTCATTGTAGATTAACTGGTACCCTCTAGAGAATGGTATCATACACCTGTCTCTTTTCTTGCCCTGAGTGGATCCTATGTGACAGGTGTAATCAGGATAAGACTGTGGTTCTCAAATCTGCCAGCCAATTACTGTAAGCAGGGGGGCTTATGAAATTAATGAGGTCCATCCCAGAACATCTAAGTCAGAATATCTAGTAGTAGAGCCAAAGTGTCAGTATTGTTTTAAAAGATCCCTATATGATTCTTTGTTATTGTTATTGAGATATAATTCAGACATAAAATCCAAAAATTAAAGTGTATACCCCAGTGGTTTTTAGTGTAGTCACAAAGCTGTATAACTATCACCAAAATCTAATTCCAGAATATTTTTATCATCATAAGAGAAGCCCATAACCATAGTAATCTCTGTGCATTTTTATGTCATTCTAGACCCTGACAACTACTAATCTAGTTTCTGTCTCTATGCATTTGCCTGTTCTAGACATAAATGGGATCACACAATGTTTCCTCTTTTATGTGGATTCTTAGCATAATATTTTTAAGGTTCATCCACATTGTATTGTGTATTAGTACATCATTTTATTTTCTTCTTATGGATAAATAATATGAAATTGCATGGATATACCACATTTTTTGAGCACCCCCCTCCAGAACTACTTACCTCCCCCCTCTAGTCCTAGGAATCAAACCTGGAGCTTCATGCATTTAGGGAAGCACTCTACCATTGAGTCACATCCCCATATCCCAAACCCTTGATTATCTATTATTCATCAATGGATATATATTTTTTGCAATATTTTCTCTTTGGATATTATGAAATGCTGCTCTGAACATTCATGTACAAGTCTTTGTGTGGACATACATTTTTAATTCTCCTGGGTGTAAACCTGGGAGTAGAACTCCTGGGTCATATGGTACTATGTTTAATTGAGGAGCTGTGCAACTGTATTACCAAATGACTGTACCATCTTATACTTCCAGTAACAATGTGCAAGGGTTCCCATTTATCCACATCCTCACCTGCACTTTTTATCATCTCTCCTATCGAAAGTGAAGTGCTATGTAGTTGTGGTTTAGATTTACATTTCCTTGGTGATGAAGGTTGTGCACTGTTCATGTGCATATCATATCTTCTTTGTGGAAATGCCTACTAAAATTTTTACCCTTTTTTAAAATTGGTTTTCTTTTTCTTCTATTGTTGAGTTAAAGGAGTCCTTTATAGATTCTGGAAAAAAGTCATATTTCAGATGTGTGATTTGCAAACAAGTTCTCCCCTTCTATGAGTTGTCTTTTCACTTTGGTGAAGCACAAAAGTTTTTAATTTGGTGATGTCCAACTTACCTATTTTTTTTTCTTTTGGCACTTGTGCTTTTTGTGCCATAAGAAAGCATTGCTTAATTCAGAACCACAAAAATTCTACTCCAGTCTTGTCTTACAGTTTTTTCCCCTCAAAGTCAGGGTATCACTTGTTGCCCAGGCTGGCCCCCAGCTCATGATCTGCTTGCTTCAGCTTCCCTTGTAGCTGAGATTACAGGTGCATGCCCCTGCAGCCAGCTTGTCTTCTAACAATTTTATGGTTTAACTCTTCCATTGAAGTCCTGTGTCATTCTCATGTGCATCTAGGGGAACAATCACTGAGTTAGAAAGATGCTTATGTTCTGTAATAGCCTAGAGTCTCCTCTGTACAGTTCTGAATTAACATTACAAGTCTATTTCTTTAAAGCTAATAAATAAGACCTACTTAGTGAATGTGACAAGCCTGAGCTTTGGATTTGTATGTTTTTCAGGCAAGATGCACACTCCCAGCCTTCATGTGAATGGCTCCTTGATCCTTGCAATTGGTTCAATGAGGCCACTGGACTTTTCCCTCCTGAACATCCAACACCAGGATGGCAGGGTAGAAGACCTCCTATTCCATGTTGTGAGCACTCCCACCAATGGTCAGCTGGTGCTCTCAAGAAATGGAAAAGAATCTCAGCTGGACAAGGCTGGCCATTTTAGCTGGAAAGATGTGAATGAGAAGAAAGTGCGCTTTATACACAGCAAAGAAAAGCTCAGGTGAGTCAATGTTGCTGATTTCCCCCCACCTCTTTTCCATCATTGCTCTGGCCCCCACCTCCTCTTTTTTAATAGCTAACCCTTCCCATCTGGGGAAGATCAATACTCCTCAAATGTGTTCAGCTGCCTGTCATCATGTCCCTGTAATTGTTCAGAGAATGTACTTCTGTTTGAGACATTTTCATTTTATCACATAATTATAGGTAATTCTCTGATGTGACAGGAAAATTCTGAGTATAATTACCCACTTTTTTGGCCCAGTAGAAACAAAACTGGTTATATAGCCAGATGCTAGAGTTGCTTCTTCCCCATGAGCATAACATACAGGGAATAGCGGGCAGATAAAGAATGGAGCACGTGGTTTTCAAGGTGTGATGTGGTCCCTGGAATTTCAGAGTTGGAAGGAAACTTAGAGTCATAGTTAACTTTTTATTATCCACATTATAAGATTAATTGTGGCTACTTTCTAAGCCCCATCCAGTTCTCTCCTGATGCTTTATACATATCTGGCTATCTTCCCCACCCAGCTGACATATGCTTCAGGAATTCAATTGAATGTTAAAACTAACCCAAGCAAATATAGCCCCATAATTAGCAGAGTAAATCTACTAAACAGAAATCAGAGAATGCATTCCAAAGATTAGCCTCTTGGATTCTCCTTCACCGTGCTCTGCTTCATTAGTGCAGATAATTCACCATAGACTATTTGTGTAAATAATGATTTGAAGACCACGAAACCATAAGAACACAGTGAATATTATCACTGTCAATACTAAATTTGAGGATTTTCTTTTATTATTTTTGTTGCTTATTTATTTTGAGATTCAGGCAAAGCCATAAGTGGGGAGAAAAATAGATGGCACTTTCTCTGTGATAATTCAGAGCTGATGATGTCAGTAACCTCAGAAGGTCATATTCTAGGAATAAGAGCAACATTTGCTGAGTGCTAGCTTTGAGCCAGGCATTATGTTAAATTTTTTACATGAATTATGTGTATGAATTATATGTGTTCTCAGTCTACAGATAAGAAAACCGAGATCTGGGAAATTTTGCATAAGACCTCATAACCTGAGAGTCTAGAGCTGAGACTCCAAGCTGACATTCTCTGAGTCCACAACCCATGCCTCTAGCCACAATGATATCTACCTCCCCAATATTATAGGGACAATAGGCCTGCTTTCATCCTCAAGGGGCTAAAATCACTACACAGAGAAAAATATTGTGCTATGGAGATGGATTATTTGAAGCCACAGAGTCACTCATCAAATCCCTGCTCCATTTCTCCATTTATTTTTGCTACAAGTATAGTTCTTAAATATCCACATTGTTCTCTCTCTCTCTCTCTCTCTCTCTCTCTCTCTCTCTCTCTCTCTCTCTCTCTCTCATGCACACAGACACAGACACAGACACACAGAGCTTCACAGTAGAATCCCTTGTGAAAAGCGTAAAGCTTCACAGACAACCAACATTAACCCTCTTCTCTATTTAACATCTTTAACCTCACATAACCTGCAGAATCTTAAGCTTTGTACCCCTAAATAGGACAAAGAATGACAGTTTAGGGAATTCCTACACATCTCTTTTTCTAGGTACCTATTTTAATACTGGATTTTCTTTACCTAAAAATTAAAACCAAAGAAATAACAGAAGAATAATAAAATGAGGTTGTTAAAAACTTGTGAAAATTAAAATTGTCTTTGAATGACAGAGAAGAAAAAGAAAAATTTATGATTGCTGCATAAGTTTGTGGTTTTTGTTCTTTGCCATGAAAATACTGACCATGATTCGTTGATGAAAATTCTTTAGGATTGGATTGCCCCGGGGTTAGAATGCTGCTGTGGAGTAAAAGACAACTTGTAAATGTAGTCAGAGTGACTATGTTAAAAGCTAGTAGTGCTTAGATGCAGAGTGCCACCAAAAATCATTTCTCCTTCTTGGTTCTTTCCATTGTTTCTGTCAGTTGCATTCCCTTGAAGCTTGGAGGTGGGAGCAAAGAGGGGCAGGATTTAGATGGAGCAGAAAAGGAAAGAGTGGTTGGAATTGGAGGGAAGGCAAGAATATATTTTTTTTAAAAGTCAGGTTTGTTGGGCTATAATTTGCATTCAATAAAATTCCCTATTTTAAAGCATGCTGTTCTATGAGTGTTAACAAATCTATATGATCTTGTTACCACAGTCAAGACATAAAAGAGTTCCATCACCTCCCATCCCCCAAATACCCTTTTAATAGTTATTCCTTTCCTTCCAGCAAGCACCTGATCTGGTTTTTTAGCCCTGTAGTTTTACCCTTTCTAAAATACCCCGTGAATGCAATCAGACAGTATGTGGTCTTTTGCTTCTGGCATTTTCTACAATGCTTTTGAGATCCACCCACATTCTTTCAAGTATAAATAGTTAGTTCCAAGAATACCTTTTAAAGAACCTTTGAAACAATGGTCCCTGCAGTAGTCAAGAATTCCAAAGCTCCCATGGTGCATTAACCACATATATCACCAGCCAGCGGTGAGTTCTGTGCTTGGATCAGCTTTTAAAGGTGGGCAACTCATCCCTGCCCTTCCAACAGTCTCTTAAGCTGCTGAAACAAAACTCCTTTAAAGAGATTCAACCCACGGCAAAGAGTGATCCTTCTTTTATTGTTAATTGGGACTGTTTGGTTGCAAGTAATGAAAATCAACTTGAACTAGATTAAACAAAAGAGTGAGGCTTATTATAACATTGCAGAGGTGGCTCAGATCTCAAAGACTTGAAGAGCACTGGTGCTCCAGGGCAAGTCCAGAAGCTAGAACTGGAAATGTGAAGCAGGACTCAAACCTTCTCTCATCCCTGTGTCTCCTTGCTCATAAGCTTCATGGACCTGTCTCCCACAGGCAGGCTTGTTCCATACTCTCATTCACATGGTAGGTTCTGGTTATACTGTAGTAAAATGGTGAGACTGACTCAGGCCAAGTCCAAATTTCCAAGGAAGAACAAGCCATTTTTTCCCTAGTCTTGTCCACAATGAATGTTGGAGTGGTAGGGAGATAGATACTGCAAACATTGTCATTGGATGTCCACTCCTACGAATTGGGAAAGAGCTGGAAGGAAGGTTTGTTGAAAGAAGGAATCACTGGGAACTTGTCAGAGACTACAAGATTCCTTTCCATTCTATAATGTATAATAATGTGTCACTAACCTATCTTGGCCTGACAACTCATTTTTCAGCTGTTTGTATATTCAGTTTAGAAAAACAGGGAACAGAATAGTCATATTATTATTATGTTATAACAAGGTCTAAGAACACAAAGCATTTTTACCTGCATCGAATGGTAATTTCTGTTTACAGTTCAGATATTATATTACTGTAGTGGTTTGATCCAAATTTTTACATACATATAACCTGAAAATATTTTTGATCCTTAACTTTCTACAGAATAATTTAATGATTGTATTTTCTCATTCCTTTTGGGGATACTTTTTAGGAAAGGTTACTTTTCCTTGAAAATTAGTGACCAGCAGTTCTTCTCTGAACCACAACTGATCAACATACAAGCGTTTTCAACACAGGTAATAAAAATACCGAGCCGTTAACAATTTTACATGCTTACTAATTCTCAAGAACAAATTAAGCCTTCTTTCAGTTTTAGCAAAAATGATTGAACTATATTAATCTTAGTTTTATCATGAAATGCCTCTTGAGTAATTTTTAGTACTTTTGATAATAACATCAACAATAGCAATTACTAATGCATGTATAGTTCTTAGTGTTTCACATAAGTTATCAGTTGATATACACACCAATCTCATGACATACTGTTATCCCCAGTTTATAGATGAGGAAACTAAGGCACAAGGGGGTTATATTTCGTGTCTGTAGTGTTGTAGCTAATAGTCAAGATCTGTGCCCAGCAGATCTGGCTTCAGAGTCTGTGGTCCAAACCATTATCTTGTGGTGACTTACTTTACTATACCGAACCTGACACTAGTCCTGCAGAATAAAGCTGTTCCAGTTGTGAAGACTTCCCTTATTCTTAGGTAAATAAGTTTATTTTACTTCAGTATTTCTCTCTCAAGGGTTTAGAATCATTAGTCATTGGAGGATCTTACATCAGCTCCTACATGAGGTGTCAGTGTGGTCGTCAGCCAAACACAGATCTGAGGAAATCATGGTAGAAGCTATAAGACACAGTGTAATGGCCCTTCACACTCATCTCTTATCACTCACTCTGTCAAGTTGTACTTATGTGTCCAGAATACACACAGCGGTAGAAGCTCTGAGAACTGGGCTTGAGGGACTGAACAGCTAAAATGTGCTAAAACAATAGGAAGATGGTGTGTGTGTGTGTGTGTGTGTGTGTGTGTGTGCGCGCGCGCGCGCGTGCGCGCATATATCATTAATAGCAAGGACATGATGTTGAGAACTAAGACTATCTAAATATCCAGACCTTATTATTGCATTAATCATGATTCCAGGAAGGACACTAGATTATTGTTTTTAACTCATATTTTTATCTTTTTGATCAAAAATGAAAAAAAAAACATGAAGGACAACATAGACTTGAAGAAGTGACTGCCACATGGTGTTAAAAACACAACTCAGATCGGCTTAATGATATTATCACGTCAGGGATAACTTGAAGTTTAGGAGTGATTAGAAATTAATCCTACTTAAGTGTGTAAATTTTGTTTTAATTAAAGCTAATACATGTCATCTCTGTAAATATAGGCCAAAGGGCCAAATTCACCTTAGGACACTGGCTTAGGTATTCCTTAATTCTTAAACATTTTACTTTGACCTCTTCATTTGAGCTAATGTAGTTACTCCAATAAAAGACCTAGGTAGGTATTAGCAGGTAACTTTCTAATCTGAGATGATGAGTTCCCACAGTTTTTGAGTTTTGTCTGTTTTCCACTTTCTCTAAGTGAGTAGATAATGAGAGCACATTTTATTTATGTATTATATGATAAACTCTTATCATTTTAACTTTTTAAAGTGGAATTTTAAAAAGAAATTTTAACTTATTTTTGTTCCTTTAAATTTTGTGTTATTTCAGTATAGTGTTGAGCTTCCCTAAAATTTTCTCATGTAACTAAATTAATCTATTTATGGGCTTTGACATCACCTCTGACCTTTCCTCTTTCAGAATATGAGGGGCCATTCATTCCCATGTATAAACTCACAGCTTTAGAATTCTCAGGAATTTTGAGGAGTAACTACCATCTAATTTTCCACTATGTGATTATCATAATGATGCATTAGTTAAACATTACTTTAATGGAAATTTTAATTTCCAGGAGGCCAGGAAGGTGCTTGAGTAGTTTTTTTAAAAAGCCATTTGGAATAAAGAAGACAATATGTTGAGAAAAGTCTTAGATGGTTCAACTTCAAATGGTATTAAAAAAACTAAGAAAATGTTTTCTTTGGCTTCTGGCCTCGTTGAGTGTATGTGTATGAGGTTTTTTTCTGTTGTGACTCACTCACTTTTTTCTTCATGAAAGAACATTTTATCTGCTTACTCAAGTTGGTGGGGGGAACCAAACAATCCCAAGGAAAACATATTAAAGTTTGCTATATTAGCAGTGTTGTACGAATTAACCAGGTGGTTGCCTGACTCATCCAGATCATAATCTCGTGGGCTTTCTAAGCTGAACTGGGATGGGACTCTGTCAAGATTTGAATGGGAGAACTTGAAAAAACTTGCTGGGAAGGACCAGATATACTATGACTTCAGAAAGCAAAAGTGCCTTACTCTGAGTCAGCATATTGCATAGTGGCCTAAAGTGAAGCACTTAACTCCCAAAGGCGAGTTCAAAAATTCTATAACTCCTGTTAGTCTTTTATTGAATGCAGATAACTGACTGGCCTTCCTGATACTGAGCTGATTTCACTAACAATGTAGAGGATATAGTGCAAATCAAGAGAGCAGATGAAATAGAAATTTAGAAGCTGAGCAGATGAAATAGAAATTTAGAAGCTGGTAGCCCTTTTTGATTGCCTCTTATCAAGACTATGGTCTTAAATTGATTTGAGAAACCTCCAGAGTCCAGAGATATAAAGTATCTGCAACCACTATTCTTACTATGACCAGCTGCACCTCTGACAAATGCTTTCACCATGGCACAGGGCTATTACTTTGCCAGAGCACCTACAGTTTCTTTAAAAGCATAGAAATATCAATCAGATTGCCACACTGATCCTCTGAGTTACCCTCTCTTTCCTAGTAAATGACTATTCTTTCCTGCTTCCCTTCAACTCCACAGGCCCCATATGTGCTGAGAAATGAGGTTCTCCACATTAGCAGAGGAGAGCGGGGAACCATCACCACCCAGCTCCTTGACATTCGAGATGATGACAATCCCCAGGATGTGGTCATCGAAGTACTTGATCCTCCACTTCATGGCCAATTACTCCAAACTCTTCAGTCCCCCACAACCCCTATCTATCATTTCCGGCTGGATGAACTCTCCAGGGGCCTGCTCCTCTATGCTCACGATGGCTCAGAGAGCACATCTGATGTTGTGGTCTTGCAGGCCAATGATGGACACTCCTTCCAAAATATACTATTTCATGTGAAGACTGTGCCCAAGGTGAGTGTCATTCTAGTTTCATTCCTTGCACCTAAATATGAAGTTCACTGAAAATATTTTGCAATGCTTATAAAGTTAGGATATGGGTAGTTATTCATTTATTCAAGCATAACCTATTACATGGGTGCTCATTAAGTGCCTATTATATAAGTAATGTATTTGGGCAGTAATATATCTTGTTAGGAACACACTTGATCTCTATAAATGGGATGATTTGCAACTCTTTTTGTTGACCTACTCCTGTAAAACTGTATTATTATTCGCTGATCCTTTTGTCTCCTGCCTGAGAATCAAGGCATCTTGGTATTTGTCTGCCCTTCTAAAACAGCTCATGGAATGAGAAACCCTTGGTCAGTAATCTTAATGAATTAAAGGGGAGAGTTCAGCCATCCTGTTAGCCCGTGAGCCCAACTGAAATGGGATAAAGGAACCCTCTTTTTTTGGTAATCATAAGGGTCTTTGGCCTAGGGGCTAAAAGTGTGTTTATCATTCTGAGTCACTGATGTGTCACCTTATTTTTTTCCTATTTCCACGAGTGCTGGTGTTATTATTTACTTATTATTTTTCTTTCAAACGATTTGGTTTGTGTGTGTGTGAGACCTCATTCTAACAAATTATATTGATATAATCATAGGCCTAATGTCTATATTATACTTTTCTGAAATATTAAAATATAACATTTCTATAAAATTTTATCCATGTACTACATTTTTGGATATTACAAATGAGATGGTTATCACACTTTACGAAATACTGAG